TCGCGATAATGCATTCGCTGTAATGCATTCGCTATAATATCTTTTCGCGGTAATCGACATTCGCGATAATACATTTCGCGCTAAAATTTTTGCGGTATTGACATGTAACCCCCTTCCAGGGCCCCTGTTGAAAGACTTTTTAGTATAGCTAAAAATATCTTTACAGATAAACGAGGATGTCTTAATGACCAAAATTTTGAAAATATTTTATTACTGAATGAAATCTAATAATTATTTATAAATTATAATCATTTAATCATATATTATATTATTAATGATATATAATAATAATTTATATTAATCATATATTATTTAATATCTAAAAATCGTTATTTTAGTTATATTTTGATAAATGTGATATCAAGTCAATAAATTTTTTAGAACATTTTATGAATTTTCACAATAGAATCCTAATTTAGGTTTATACAAACCTTATCTAAGAGTATAATGAAAAATGTATATATATCTAGATACATTTTAAATTGTGTCTGTATCTAGATAACTTTTTAGAAGCTGTATCTGTATCTATATAAATTTTTAGACGATGTATCTGTATCTAGATCCATTTAAAAAGTAACTTTTAACAACTCTGAAAAAAAAAATATATATTTTATAAAGAAAAACATTAAAAAAGAAATTAAAAATATTTAAAAAAAGGTACATATCATATCATCTTAGAGAAGAGTGAATGCTTAAAAAATTGGACCAGAAATCTGCCGGTCCAAAGGTAAAATCCTTCATAGGTCCGTAGATATATTTCTCATTTTTTTTCACGATGTTCTAATGAAATTGAGAACCTCATTTCCGAACATGCCTAATGTATTGGTATGAATAGGCCAGCATATTTGTTTTCTTTAAGGATTTCTGCCTTTTCGATGGCAGAAAATGAGAGGTTGAACTTTGCTGCAAAATCGACATAAGTATAATCCCAATTCAGCGGGAGACAGTTTGTCCAGGGAATGAAGGATATACCATCGGGGCCAATGGCGTTTTTATTTGAAAGGCCCATTGATTCTAGGAGAGTGGATGGGATATTAACTTTTTTGAGGGCAGCTAGAGGAATCTTGTTGATGGATTTATGGCGGGGTTAGAGATGGTCAACTTTCGATTTGATAGGCTGGCCACAATCAATTCAAATGGAGGGTACAACAGCCTTACAGCTAAGAAAAAGGGCTATGGATATACATAGCTGTTTGCCAGTCATAAGGAGACCAAAATTGGAACTGGGGATGGCTACCAACCATTCATAGCCTAAATTTGCATTTATTATGTTTATGGGTAGTGTGGTAAAATTGCTTGATGATTTTTGGTTGGCTTTTTGGTCGAAAAAATGAACCAAAACCAAAGCAACCAAATTTCGATCCATCGACCCGAGCACATAATTTAAAAATTTTTTGAATAATTTACAATTTGAAAATATTAAGGAAAACTTTATATGAAACTACATTTAATATGATGATTATTTTCGGATTAAGAATAATTTGAAAAATTAGGCCGACTAGCCATTATTTCGCTTACTTAAGATAGTTATTAAAAAAATCTAATAGGTGTTTTATTTAACATGACTTAGTTGCTATTCAACTAACGGAGCATTTTGTGATGTGACAAATATGACTTAATTGGATTTTTTATATATTTTACTACAATAGGGTTATATGAAAAGAGATGTATAAAAAGTGGCATTGAAGGGCTTTGTTTTTTTATAAGACTTAGTGAATTTCTCAATTTAGATTTCCAACAATTTATAAGATGGCAAAATCCAGTGTTGTCTATGTGCATGCATAAAGTTTTCAATATTTTTATATTAATAAATATTACTTAAAATACTATTGTAAATATAAAATTTACAAATAATTATTAAGAAGACTAATAAATAAAACTATGCTAGTGCAGAATGAAGAACTATGAAATATTTCCTATCAATGGCATTGGATTGTCGTGTGAGGAAGGTTTTATTGAGCTCCGATCGCTTCTATTAATTTCAGAATACCTTTTCCAAAAACATTGAGTCAGGATTGGGCAAATTTTAAAAAAATATATTCAAATATAAATAAATATACACTTCATAAAAATTATTTAAATATATATACAAATACCTTTTAAAAGAATATATTTTAAATATAAATACTGAATACCTGTAAAAAAATTTAAAAAGTATTTAAATACAAATATTTTGATGAAATTTTTAATTTAATACTTATATCATTAATAATTTTATGTAATGAATACAAATATAATTAATTTTGTCGTTTTATAATATATAATAAATTGCTATAGGATGAAATCGCTTTATTTATGATATTGGTTTTATTTTTAGTTCAGCAGATATTACATTTAATTACTATATTATTGATTTTAAATATTTCGAAAAAATTTACATTCAAAATTGTAAAATTATAAGAGGATGTTGAGGTTATCACAGAATCGCGGCTAAAATAACTTGTGAGCATAATAGTTTAAATAAAAACTCCTTTTCTTCAATTACTATTTCTTCTTCATCTTTAAAAAAAAACTTATATTTTCGTTTCGGTAATATTTATTTTGGAAATAAAATAGGATTTAAAATAAAAGATGTTAATTTTTTAGCTAATTTACGCCACAAATTTAATATTTAAATAAATAAATCTGCATTTATATTTTATAATTAAATTTATAATAAAAAATAAAAGAGTATTTGTATTCATCTGAAAATCGTGAAACCTTAATAAATACAAAATCCTTTTTATTATTTAAAATACAAATACTTTCTAAAATATTCAAATAAATACTAAATACAAGAAAGTATTTGTATTTTGTTAAAACAACCCCAAGATAATAATTTAAAAATCCTATGAGCGGTTATTTATAACCTCCAAGCAATCATAATTAGACTCTCAGTCCTCATTATTATTTATAACTAGAAATAATAAATATGCATTCATCAGTGATAATAACTAGCTGTTATTAACCGTATTCTAAATATTAGATATGGGCATGTATGACTTCAAACTGTAGTAAAATGTTGAGAATGAGTGAGCAATTAATATCTATTAATAAATTTTTTATAAATAGTGTTTATTTTTACTTTGCCCTACCCCCTACAAAAAAAATTGGAGGAAAATCGCTCCTACCCCTCTCTCTCATGTAGATAAATATTTACAAATGCTCAATTCAGAAATTACCATTTTATTTCTAAAAAATCCAAAACTATTAAGATTAAAAATAGACTAATTTATAATTTCTCTAGCAAAAATCATGCAGTCCCGTCTAATGAATAGCATTAAAAACGATGGTAAAATGACTTGGATAAATTTAACAAAATTATTTTTTTATTTTAGAAATTCTTTCCGATATATTCTTTATAAAAAATATTTGCTTAAAACCTAGATGCACGATTTGGAGGGAAGAAATAAAAAAAATCTGCCAGTGCTACAAATTAAATAAATATAAAACAATAGTTGAGCTTAGATATATCAGAATTGATACCAGATTCATGTATCGAAATATGAGAAAGGAATCATCGCAAGCGAATAAAATCTTTTTAAAAAAAATCCAAAGAAATGAAAGATTTATGGAAAATATAGATATCGGTGGTATTAAATTTGTGATATTATTTTTATAATATAAATAAATTATTTATATTCGTAATAAAAAAATTCGATTTTATATATAGCATATTTTTTAATGATGTACGTAAATAAAGAAATCACCACTTCCCAACCTGCCCACTGTCCAATGGCAAATTTTTTCAAGATTGAAGATCCGTTGCGACCCAAATTTTAAAAAAGTTTTGCAGGGAAAAAAAAACTTAAACTCAAAATATTAATTTATTTTACTTTATTTTTATATATTATATTTAAATATTCAGAAATAACTTGATAATTAGTGATGTTTTTTATTAATTTCAAAATTTATATTTAAATGAATAGCAAATTTCCCACATCTTGAATCTTATTTTACATATATTTGATAATTGTGAAAAATAAACAGTTAATAAAAAGGAAGAAAAGAAAGGAAACACAACAATAATATTTTTTGAACCACGGACAGGGCCTGATGTTATTGCCCTGCAGGATTAATCTACTTATATATATAAATATATAAATAGAAATAAAAATAAAAATCGATTTTTTTATAATCACTTCCAGCTATACTATTTTCGTCAATTAAATTTACATATAATATTAATGAGTCAATATTAAAAACTACTTGAATATATTCGAATAAATTTGCTAGCGCAAAAATTTCCAGAAAAATTTTCATTTATGCACTATGAGAGCCCACGAGGACAAAATTTAAACTTTTATATTTTTTTCCTCAATTACTATAGGTGCTATATCAAAGGCGAGGACTGACCAGTGAAAATTTTTGAAAAGATTTTTTGGGCCGGTGTGTTAAAATTTTTGAAAATGTTTATTAGGCCGGCCGTAAAATTATTTTGTACAAGTTGTTCGGCCCAGCTCGAAAATCAACATCTACTGTAAATATATAAATTTTTTAACAAAAATCAGATGGAATTAGGTCGAAACTCTTATTGATTTGTCGCAGAATATGGTATATAATTTTTTTCTGTTCCATTATATAATTTTGTTTGTCAAAAATAAAAGTAATTATTTTTTTAACTATAAAAATAAGCCTCAAGCTTAATTTGACTGATTCGGATAGCGCTTCGAGGATGAGAGTAATTAACAGATTTTCAATTTACTAATTATAGGTTTTAATTCTACTTTTGATGTCGTGATTGAATTTTTCAAAATTTTAACCATGGGCCTTCTCTGCCCTTCATCTTTTTACAAAAAAACACCCACGGATCAATTTAAAATGATTCTATAAATTAAAGATAGTTCGACATGGCATTTTTTTAAACCTGTAAAATTGACCCAAGTGGAGTTAGAAAACTCTTATCAAACAACATATAATTTTGATATTAGTAAAAAAAAAAATAATATCGTTATTCACATATAAATTTAAAAATTATTATAAAAAAAATCGTTGAAATAAATAGGATTGAAAATATACCTCTAAAATTTATTACTAATATATAAATAAACAATCATTGAAATTAAATACATTCGTAATAAATCATTCATAGTGATAATTTCTATTCTCCGATTATAATTTCCCATAATACCTAAATAAATTTAAAAAAATATATTTACACAATGCAATCAATATTATATATGAACCATAGGCGTAGCCAGGGAGGGGGAAGCTTGATAGATTTGAAAGCTTTCGTAAATAATATTATAAATATGAAATATACCTCTACACTCCACCCACTCACCCGACCTTCTTAAATTAATAAAATATGTCATTATTAACAATAATTTTTAAAATATAATAAGTACAGTAGAACTTCGATAAATGTTCCCGTATTTAATGTTTTTCCCGCCTTTATTAACCTTCAGAAATCAAGGCCCCGAAAATTTCAACAGTATTTAATATTTTTTACAATTAAGGTCTCCGTAAAATTTCCTACATATAATTAATATTTTTGATGGTCCCTTCATAAAGTTAAAAGGGTATATCACTAAATACTATTATCTGCTAAAAAAAAATTAAATATAAGCTCAATTATTTAGAATTAAAACCATCTAATTTATTTTATATCCAAGATGAGTACAAGAATCTCATAACTTATACGTCCCACGTGTTTATTTAGAATTTTAAAATTTAATAAAATTTTGTCAGTTTGATGTTAATCGATTTCAAAAAAAATAATTGGAAATAAGTGGTTAGATTGCATAGTAAATATTTTTTAATATTTAGGTTTGACTTTATTTTAAAAATTGATATAACGTTCTTTCGCATTCATGGGCAAGGTAGATATATAATTTTTTTTAAGTTTGATTATATTTTAAATTGATATAAAACCAATGCCTGATGTAGGCTAGTGGAGTTAGTGTATATATATATATCAGATATAGGCAAATGTTTGATTTTGGAGAGGGTTTTGCTTTGCAATAATGTCAGCGGTATAGGGTTAGCTTCAAAAAAAAATTGTATATATATGGGGCTTAAAACAAATTTTTAGTATGATACTATTAACCGACACATCCGTTAAAAATTTTCAAAAAACACCATTAGGAAAATCTTGGCTAGGCCTAATATGAACCTATATATTATATCAATAAATTTGTGGCATCGTTAGCGAGATGCAAAATCATTTAATTTGCGCATGCCTAAAAAAAATATTATATGAAATTTAATAACGGATTGAGATTATAAAATTTTGAGATCATTATTTATTTATTTATTAATATTAATAGTTCTTAAATTATCGTGGAATTAAAGATAAAATTAATATTAATAAGGAAAAATTAATAAAGAATTTCGAGAACTCAACTAGCTGTAAATTTAGACCAAGCTACATCGCTTGCATTGTGAATGCAATAACCTATGTGATGCGAACTAGTGACACGTTACAACAAATAAGGTGTCATTTATCGTTGCCGACTTATTTGAAAATCCTTATTTAACCAAATTGAATATCCTAAAAAATAAATAAAAAACAAACAGAGGGGGAAAATTTTTTTGGAACTGTATATTTTATTTCAAATTTTAAGACATGACATGAAACAAAGCTCTCCAGTGTTACCCCTCACCCCATTCACAGTTAACGGAAATTTGCATATGAATAAAACTAGAGTAGTACTAAACTTCCGGTTTTCGCCATTATTTAGTGATAAATTAATGTATTTCAATTCCGTTATTAATTTAGTTAACCGCCATATGGAAAAAAAGTTATAAGCTAAATAAAAATTATGACGTCACGATTTAAGCGTGAAGTTGGCCGAACTTTTGGAAGCACTAACGATGAAACTTATATCATTCTTTAGTGCTTCGTTAGTAGAGGTTGTGCTTCAATCACTTTTGTTGCCGAATTTAAGAATAAAAAGTTATTGGCGAAAAAACAAATATTGGCGACGTGCCAAAACAAAAACTAGAGTAGTACTAAACATCCGGTTTTCGCCATTATTTAGTGCTTAATTAATGTATTTAAATTCCGTTATTAGTTTAGTTAACTGCTATATGGAAAAAAAGTTATTAGCTAAATAAAAATTATGACGTCACGATTTAAGCATGAAGTTGGCCGAACTTTTGGAAGCACTAACGATGAAACTTATATCATTCTTTAGTGCTTCGTTAGTAGAGGTTAGTGCTTCAATCACTTTTGTTGCCGAATTTATAAAAAGTTATTGGCAAAAAAAACAAAAATAAATAAATATTGGCGACGTGCCAAAACAAAAACTAGAGTAGTACTAAACATCCGGTTTTCGCCATTATTTAGTCCTTAGTTAATGTATTTAAATTGTGTTATTAATTTAGTTAACCGCCATATGGAAAAAAGTTATTAGCTAAATAAAAATTATGACGTCACGATTTACGCGTGAAGTTGGCCGAACTTTTGGAAGCACTAACGATGAAACTTATATCATTCTTTAGTGATTCGTTAGTAGAGGTTAGTGCTTCAATCATATTTATTGCCGAATTTAAGAATAAAAAGTTATTTGCGAAAAAAACAAATAATGGCGACGTGCCAAAATAAAAACTATAGTAGTACTAAACATCCGGTTTTCGCCATTATTTAGTGCTTAATTAGAAAATTTGAATTCCATTATTAATTTGGTTAACCGTCTTTATAAAAAATTGTAATACTCTAAAGAAATGTTTAGTGGTCAAATTATGGCCAGAAAATTATGAAAGCACTAACGATGAAATTTATATTCTTTAGGGCTTCTTTAGTAGAAGCTAATGCTTCAATCACTTTTGTTGCCGAATTTATGAATAAAAAGTTATTTGCGAAAAAAACAAATAATGGCGACGTGCCAAAACAAAAACTATAGTAGTACTAAACATCCGGTTTTCGTCCTTATTTAGTGCTTAATTAGCAAATTTGAATTCCGTAATTAATTTGGTTAACCGTCTTTATGAAAAATTGTAATATGTTAAAGAAATGTTTAGAGGTCAAATTATGGCCAGAAAATTATGAAAGCACTAACGATGAATTTTATATCCTTTAGGGCTTCCTTAGTAGAGGTTAGTGGTTCAATCAGTTTAATAGTTTAATTTAAAATAAAAAAGTTATTAACAAAATAAACAAAAAATCTATCAGCGACAAACATTTTATTTTCACCATTATTTAGTACTTATTTTGTAAAATTTAAACCCTAATTAGTTTGATTAAAAACCCCAAGTAATTAAAAAATGCATATTGTCTTTTTGCACTTAACCTATCAATTGTTTCCGTAGATCATCTGCCATATTTGAGCAATATAATGTTTCAGAAGTTTATATATATTAAGGTTCCCAAAATACATGAATAGCTATAACCAAGTCACAAAATATTATTTCCACTACTGCCTAAATGGGTCCATTGAACCCCATTCTTGTGTAATAATTATATAATTTTTATTATTTTATTGTAACAACTACATTTTTTCTCCAGCATCTATTATTCTGAGGTGTTATTGAATGATATGGTTAAAAACATTCTCAGAAATTTTTTATTCTTAATTCAAATTGTTCTTTTTACATAGTTCTATTTTATTCGAAAAAATTACGCATATATTTATTCCTATCATAAATTTTAGTTATATTAAGATCACAATATTATATAGTACCCGTCGAATCGTGCTCAGACCTAATTTTTTTTAAATAAATCGGGTTCGGGCCTAATATTTTTTAAAAAAGAGCCGGATAGGGTTGGCTAGAAATTTTTTTAAATATATCTAAATTTATCAATAATATATTAAATTTTTTATGTAAAATGAAAATATTTGATTTTATTTATAGAAACTAGACAACATATAACATATGTCTTTTATTTTGAGTAATTTTAAAAATTATTTTCTATATTTAAATAAATTCGGGCAAGACTGCGGATCGGTAAATTTTTTTTAAAAAATTTCTGGTTCGGGCCGGGCCGGCAAAACTTTTTTAAAAAAATTTCGGACCGGGCCGGGCTTGAAAAATTAGGCCCGATGCAGATCACTAAAACACCCGGGCCGGACCTAAATTTTCTTAAAAAAACACCCAAGCCGGGCTGTATTTTTTAAAACAGCCTATATTTGAAATCGTTATTATTAGCTATAAAAATCAAAAATAAATATAATTTATTTTTTAAAAATCCAGGCCGGGCCTGAAAATTTTATTTTAAAAAAAGCCGGGCCGAGCCTGTAAATTTTAAAAAAAAGCCGAGCGGCCTAAAAAATTTTTTAAAAATAGCGTAAAAAATCTTTAAAAAAAATTCGGGCCGTGCCCTGCAAATGGTACTTCTGCAGGCCTCTGTTATTATTCTTAAAAAAGAGAGTGTTCTCTCATTAGTTTACTAATGGGAAGAGTTTATAAACCCTTTTAATACATTGGGAATTTAATCTAAAATGTGTTTGAAATAATGCAGAGCTACCATAGCATTTTTTGGGACTATATCAACTATAGTTAATCTTATAAACATAGTTATTCAGCTAGTAAGGCATCATAAGATATTTTAACATCTTCATAATAAAAATCTAACAAATATTTTTTTTTCTATCACCATCTGAAAAAGGTTGAAGGCTTTTGTGGAACTAATATTTTCAGATGTAAGTGCTGCATGATATATTAAAAATTCATTTATTTAATATAAATGTATCTGCATCTAAGATAAACTCTTCTACTGATCCTATATTAATAATTTAACGATAAGCTTGCCTTGCTGTCGAGGGAGACAAATATTAAACACGTATAGCTCTGCTTTTGACTCAACAATAAAATATAAAATATGAAATTCTTCATCAACATTAGCCCTAATTTCCTTGAGTTCTGAAAAAATGCTCTCCGCTATTCTCATCTTCTTAATCAAATCATTGTCATGTTTTTGAAAAGTAATACTTAAAATAGTTGTATAATTAAATAATACATTCTAATGAGAAATAAAATTTGGAATAATTGAATCCAATAATTTTCTTGCTTCTGAGGAAATATTTCTTTCAGGCCATTGTAATGTTTCAGTAATAGCATTAATAATCGGCTATTCTAACTCCTTAATTGCTGTTAGTGCTTGATGGAAGAGGCTCTATCTCGTTGGACAAGGTTGCAATTTCTTTTTCCCTGTTGGACCAGAAGTTTCAGAAATAATTATTATTTGAC